TCTTAGTCCTCATTCTGATTGGTATTTGTTCCATATTTTCAAATCTTAGACATAATGAAGGATTTTACAACAATAACCCTTGCTTGAGTGGGGTAATCACTGATAAATTGTTTGTTGACTTTATAGGTAGATTTATACAGAAAAAAGGGACATGCTAACATCTTTTTAAAAATCCCGAAGCATATCCAACTATAGTCATTAGAATGCCATATACTTATGACTTTTGGGGACGTTTTTAACACAAATACACTCCGCTTTAACCTAAAAGGGGACATTCAGTGGGAAACTTTCGTTAGGGAACTGGTAAATACAATGAACTGTGATTATGAAACATATGCATATGTTAAGGTATGTATAATGATTTGGGGGATGGATTTCTTTATCTTAGTCCTCATTCTGATTGGTATTTGTTCCATATTTTCAAATCTTAGACATAATGAAGGATTTTACAACATAACTCTTACTTGAGTGTGGTGATCATTGATAAATTGTTCTCGAACTTCATGTATGGAGTTATACTGAAAAAGGGACATGACACTATTTTTAAAAATACAATACAAAAACATATCTGACTATAGTCATAGGTATGCCACATACTTATGACTTTTAGGGATGTTTCTAACACAAATACACTCCGCTTTAAATGGGGACATTTAGTGGGAAACTTTCCTTAGGGAACTGGTAAATACAATGAACTCTGATTATTTAACATACGCATATGTTGAGGTATGTGTAATGATTTTTGGGATGGATTGCTTTATCTTAGTCCTCATTCTGATTGGTATTTGTTCCATATTTTCAAATGTTAGACTTAATTTTTTTTTAATTTAAATATTTATTTTTTTCCGTTTCATTAGCCTCTCTTAATTAACAAAATAATCCTCATTGTTAGCTTGCACATGAAAAACTTGAGGATGCTAATAAACATCTTTTATTATTTTAGAATCATAAAAGCATAAAAAAATGAAATCCCCTAAAGTATTGAAAGTTTGGTTCATTCAAACATCCCTTAATGTTTAATCCAATACATCTCTGAATGTGTAACTTATATGTGGCTAGCTTTTTTGGGCTAATTAGCTCAAGTCTTTTTTTTCCAAATCATCAAGGGCACATCTAGCAAACCAGTATTAGCAGTTATTACTAAATAACTTTCTTACATTCAAACAGAAAATGCTGAAACTTGTCAGCAGAACCCTTGAGATATAGGTATAAGAAACTAAAAAAGTTTTAATCACTTTTCATACCTTTAAAGCTGCTCTACATGCTGCTGCTTGCACACACCTCCATGGCTGCGATCAAGGCCTATGGTGACATAGAGGTCTTACCTCACCTCCCCTACCTTTAGTCTGTCCCTGCTCTGTCCCTCTTCACTCTCACACACACGAACTCCAGACCTGCATTCATCTCTTTCCTCTGATCCCCCCCACCCGACAGACATACAAAACTCTAAACATCGCCCTTTGACTGACTGCCTCACACCCACTTGCACACGAACTCTTTCCCGAAAGCACTCTGATTGTATGACACTAGTGTTCATTGTATTATGTCGTACATAGGACTTTTGTTTTGTTTTTATCTTTAAGTTGTTCACTGTACACTGTAGACCGTGGGAGCATTACAATTTAAAATCCCTATGTATCATTTGTACATGTGGGTTTTCACAATAAAAGCTGACTTTGAATTTGACTTGAGTCAAGCTCTGCACATATCTCTAAGGCCCAGTCAACCATGCTACAGAAGCTAATGTTTCCCGCTTGTATCCAGGATATCATTTTTTTTCTGTCATGATCCATATGTAATGACCATTGTCTTACAGTTTTTGATCAGCTCTTAAAGAGACTTTGGTGAGAATGAAGTTTTATGCCATATGCTTGTGACTTTTTATGCTTTTTAGGCAGTATTTTACATACTGCCTAAAAGGTATTAACATTGAAATTTAAATTTAGCTCACCTGTTTCACCAAATTTTGGATCCCTGCACCATTCAACAGAAATTCAAGAAACATCTTAAATATGTTGCAATACAAGTATCAAGAATTTAGAGTAATTTATGTCAAGTTGCAGTTCAGAAAGCAAATGTGAACCTAAAGTGCTCCATTATTTCATGCATCTGCTTCACATCATGCCAAATAATTCTTTAAAAAGTATTAAAACTATTTATATCATAATTACGTGAAATATGACTCTTTTGTATTTTCTAGTGTCTTCTTTACCCTTTGAAAATGTAATCTACTAAATAGTCTACTAATTTCTATTATTCAAGAGAAACAAATGTTTGTTTATATAAAACCATTCATACAAAAGAATGTTGAATAAGATTTTCAACAAAGATCAGTATATTAAAAGAAATCTTACACTATAATAATATAAGGGTTAGGGAGAGGTAATACACACACAAAAAAATCCAAGAAATGTCACTTTTGGGGACAGTGGAAATTCTTGCAATTTCACACACTTCCACTAGGGGCAACATAGAGTTATACACAGATTGC